TTTCGACCCGGTCCCACAAGAACGAGAGATACCCTCCCGATCGGCCTCACGATCACGGGAGTCTTCATCCGATTCCGATTCCGAAAGGCAACACAGACATCGAGACGACCATAGTCACAAGCGACACAGGCGACGCAGGGATGACGAACGATCGGATGCTACAAGAGAGTCTGGCAGGGCCCGGAAAAGGCGTCACCGATCTGAGAGCCCCGGGTCAGATACCTCTGATGCTACCATTGAACTGCCACCGCGCTTCGACGAGAAGGGGCGGCAGCAGCCTGAGGACCCATTGGCGGAGAAGTTGGAGAGTATTCTGCAAAACATCTTTCGATAGCGTCTCTTGCTTTCTTGATTCTCTCTTTCTTTTGAGTTACATCTTTTCGGTTTACACAGGCACTTGATAAATTTTTCTTGGTGTTTCTTTGCTGTGTTTGGGCGTTTCGAGATGGGTCGGATCATGAAGACGAAGTTACGATGTCACTGCATTGAGTTGTATTCTTGTAATTATGCGTAATACTTTTTCCTTCGTACACTCTATTATGAATGTTATGTTTTTAATGTTCGCAAGACTGCCTCGATTGCCTATGTTCCATCGTGACTTCCTGTCTTGGGAGAGCACGAAAATAGAGGTGAAGGTGGCCATGGGTCGCACCTTCGTTGTTACACCTCAGGGTCGCCGCGGCTGCTCCTTCTGTAGACGTCCCAGCTTGGCATTTCGATAAACTTCACCATCACCGTCACCTTCTCCTTCCTTTAACCACACCTTCCCCCCGCTGCCGCATCGATCCTTCACACCCATCCGCACCTGTTTCGCTCAATTCTCAACAACATGATTGCGCCACGCTGCTTCTCAGTCTATGCCGCGCTATTGACGGTTCTCGCAACAGCAGCACTTTCTGCTGCTGCCGACTCGCCCTTTCCGTGCACTGGGTAGGCTTGGAAATTTTTCTTCTGCAGGACCAGTGAAGCTAATGCGCACAGTGGTTCCATCTACTTCACTGGCCACACAGTCGATGGCCTCCTCTTCCAGAACCCAGATCTCTACCACGACCTATATGTTTTCAAATGCGTCACTACGGTTGTCTTCACAGCGGATAGCGGTGGTGAAGCGGCCAACAATACTCGGGTGCAGGAGTTGGAGCGCGGTCTCGAAGATGCTTACAGGTTCATGTCCGACGTGGCTTCCGTTAGGCCGGATGGCACGCAGTCCCCGTCTACTTCGAACGAGGAAGCGCCACGTAAGGCGCTACGAGAGATCCTTATACTGCATAACGAGACTAACCAGTATATCACAGTTGCCAATGAGACCACGGTCCAGATCGGCAAACACACTATCGTCTCTTCTTCTCTCCTCGGCCTAGCGAACGCACAGATCCTCTACCTTCGTCTCCCGGACAGTACATACTTCGGGGAAGGCTACAAAGCATACGGCGAAGAGTCGCTCAAGAAATTGTACAGCGCAGACATCTCGGAGATTACCACTACCGACGGCAAGGCCACGTACACCATCGACGATCTCAAGGACATCAGCGCGACGATTCTTCGCGATCGCCGAGCCAACCAAATTCGCGTGATGAACTACCAGTCGGCTCTTTCTACGGACAATGACGATGATCAGCTCGATCATGCTGACCGAATCGTCTCTGCTAAGCTTGTGATGGACGTCGTGGAAGAGGAGGAGATCGGTGGGAATGTCACGGCGTAAGTTTGGTTTCACGGTTCCTTGAAAACTTGTATGCTAACGCTACCAGATATGCGTGCGACTCATTGCGCATACTGTCAATAAACAACCTCGAAACCCCGGACTACATCAAGAAGGTCGATGCATTCTTTGAGTATGCTAAGCGTGATCCCGACATGGTAAGTTGAAGTCCTATGTACATGATAGTAGTTCACTGCTAACTAAATTCAGTGCCAGAGTCTTGATGAATGTGGTCAGCGGCGTCAGAATATCAAAGATCCCTCCAAGGTCAAGTATAACGAGGTAGATCATGTTGCAAACTTTCTGAAGCGGGAGTACTACATCCGGATAGACACCGAAGCCTGATACGGGAACGTGTACTAGTACAGAATGTAGCCAGGGTTGACTCGAGAAACTTTCCTCCATGATGGAAAGATAATTGTGGTGGATTGTGAGATACTACATAGGATAGATACCACAAAAGGAATGAAGTCATATTCCCACTCACTACGCCCTCAACACCTCCAATGCAAAACAAAAAAAAGCTCACGCCTCGTCCTTCTTCCAGCCCGTCTTCCGTTTAGTGTCAAACTCAGACGGACTCAGCCTCCGTGCAGTAGGCTCTTGCCCAGGAGACCTCGGCGGCGAAACATCCTTCTTCTCTTCCTCTTCTGGTTCCCAAGCCCTCCGCTTCTCCAACTTTGCCTTCAAAACAGGATCCATGCCCTCCATGCCTGATGATGGCTTGCGCTGCGGCACGGGCGGCGGCGGCCTCCTCGTTTCGCTCGTCCTCCTCAATCCAGCCCTCGAGTCCATGGCGACGGGCATAACAGGCGGAATCTGGCCCCTAACCTCCCTCACGACGGGGACATCAGAAGCGGCGATGGCGCCACCGAGACGTGCGAATGGCGCCGGGCTCGTGGGTGACATGGGTATGCCTGAGGTTGATGGCGTTCCGGGGATCTCTTGCGAGGGGTGCATGGGGGCACGACGGCTGCCTATCATCATGTGACCATACGTTTGGTCGCCAACAGCGGGGAGAGAGTAGTTGATCTCTTTTGGTGCGGGCTTGGGCGCTGGAGGGGGTCGGGGTGCAGATTTGTTGACGGCGGGTTTGGGGGCTGGGGCTGGGGGCGCAGGTGGTGTGGCGGGTGGGGATGGTGGTGCGGCGGTCCTTGATCGGAGCTGTGGGGGGTGTTAGGTTAGTAACTGATGTTGAGATGATATAGGACTTGGACTTACTAGTTCTTCTCGGTACTTCTTCTCCTGCTCCCATCTCTCATTCTCCCTCAAGGCTCGCTGCTCCTCTTCCTCCTTTTCTCTCTTCTTCCGGTCTGCTTCTTCTCTGGACCTTTGGATCATCAGATCCAGATCCCGTTGTTCTTTGGCCAGTCGGTCGAGCTCCGCCTTTCTCTGCCTTTCGATCTCCTTTGCTTGTGCTTCCTCTTCTGCCAATCTCTTCTCATGCTCCCGCCGGCGTCGCTCAATGTCCTCTGCCATCTTCTTATCATGCTCTGCCATCTTCTTCTCATGCTCTCTGCGTTTTCTTTCCATTTCCTGTTCCTTTTCAGCCATCTCTCTCTCTTGGTCCCTAAGTCTTCTCGCAATGGCTTCTTCATCGGCTTCTTTCTTGGCCTGCCGCCGCTGTTCTTCCGCCTCCCTGAGGTCTCTCTCCCTAGCTTCCTCCTCGTCCCGTCGCCTTTGCTCCACTTCCCGGCGGCGCTTCTCCATAGCTTCTTCGTCGGCTCTTTCTTTCGCCCGACGTCGTTGTTCATCTTCCCGGCGGCGTTTCTCCGTAGCTTCTTCTTCGGCCCTCTGATCCGCTCGGCGTCTTTCTTCGGCTTCCCTGCGACTTCTCTCCCTGGCCTCTTCATCAGCTCGCTGCTTTCTGTCCGCTTCCCGGCGGGCTCTGTCCCTGGCTTCTTCGTCGGCTTTTTGCTGAGCCCGTCGTCTTTCTTCCGCCTCCCGGCGGTTCTTCTCTTTAAGTTCTTCCTGCCCACGTCGGAATGCTTCTGCGGCTTCTTCGTTTTCTCGGCGTTTGTGTTCTCTTTCTTTTTCCAAGTCACGGCGCATGGCGGCTTCTTCGTTGTCGCGGAGACATCTGTTGCAAATCCCGTTTTGGTCTCTGGTTTTTACGGTGCAGCGATCTTTTGTCCTCGAATTGTCACGGTCACAGGGTACTCTGGTCCTATCGTAGTAGGGGCAGTTGAGAGTGACGACATGATCATCCTGCTTGTGACCGCATTCGAGTATCGTGATTGTGTACTTGCACATCCTGGGCGAAAATGTGGGTGAGCCACGAGACGAATGCGAGTGTAGGTCGGCAGCGTAATAGTGGGGTTAGAGCAAAGGGATGTTGAAGGAGATCAGGAAATGCTATGATAGCAACGATTGATACTTATATGGCGCAGATGTTGACCGCCCCCTTGTACTAGTGAAGTGCTGCATGAGTGATGTACACGTACACGTAGTGGCATCATATGACTCTGAAACATGGCTGGAAGAAGCGGCCGGTGTTGTAAGCCTGTGAAGATACCGAATTGACAATGCAAACATTAGTACAACTCATCAAACGGCAAGCTTGCCTGCGTCCGCGCAGAGCGCCGTCAATGAGGCGAACAGCGGCCGATTGGTCAGACACCATGGCTAGGGTATCTTTCCACCTACGGCGGCACAGAGGGAAGAATCCTATGCGTCTCTCAGTCCACCGACTGCTACTCCTAAGGATGCAATGTCGCGAGGTGCCCCCAGCGTATGTGTTAGCAGACCCACAGTTCCATCAGACGTGGTTGACCGCCGTAGGCGCATTCCACGAGCATCGATGCGGCTCTGTACCGAGCCATTTTTTGCGCAGAAACTAATACGGGACGTTGCCAACAAAGGAATCCGCAGGCTAGACTGCCGCGGATGCCAGAGAAAAATGAAGCTTCCGCAGTGCGCAGCAGCGACGAAACGCACGAGGACGGTGTCGGTGGGGATAGCTACGTGGCGGCCTCGACTGTACTGGGCATGGCTCGCTGCAGCAAAGGCGGTAATGTGTTTCAAGCAGCGAAGTCGTGGATCCATGTAGCTACGGGAGAACGGCGATCAGGTAATGCTATCGATCACGCACAACATGAAGCGATGTTAGGATGACCTGAACTATGCGGAGAAGGAATGAGGAAGCGTCGAAGGTACGACGGAGTGGAGATGTTGGGCGCGGCCAATCAGAGGCGGCTGATTGCAATGACCCCTGCACATTTACTTGGCGCTTCGGACGAGCTTCATCGTTGACATCTTCAATCGACGCCATCGCCTCCAGCCCGCAGCACAACCCACCATGGCCTCAAGACTCGTCCCCCTCGCATGCAGGATTGCCCCACGGGCCTCGCGACAGTTCCAGAGGGCTCAATGGCGGGCTTTCAGCGTTTCGCGACCGTCATGGAACGAGAGCGGCTCGCTCAACGTTGTATGTATTTCATTCATCTTGCGCTGGAAGCCGAGCTAATACGTCTGTAGCACCGCGACACGCCTCAAAACAACCTCAAAATTCCCTTCAAATTTACACCACAAAATGAGGAACTCATCCAAGAGATCGTCTCCCGATACCCCTCCCAATACAAGAAGGCCGCCGTCATGCCGCTGCTCGACCTCGGACAACGCCAGCACGGATTCTGCAGCATCAGCGTCATGAACGAGGTTGCGCGGATACTGGAGATGCCACCAATGCGTGTGTACGAGGTTGCGACTTTCTACACCATGTACAACCGGGACCCCGTGGGCAAGTTCCACGTCCAGGTCTGCACAACTGTGAGTAGACACCATGTTTGGCAATGAGGGTAGCAGCTGACACAATCAAGACCCCATGCATGCTTTGCGACAGTGACTCGGTTATGAAGGCTTGCGAAGACGTATTGGGCGTACACCACGGCGAGACCACCGCAGACGGCCTCTTCACATTCTCCGAGGTCGAATGCCTTGGTGCATGTGCGAACGCGCCCATGGTCCAGATCAACGACGACTACTACGAGGACCTAACATACGACTCGACAGTCAACCTGCTCAAGGCCCTCAAGGCCGCCGAACAATCCACCGGTGCGCAGCCCGGAGGCAAGGGTCTGGCATCTGGCAAGGGATCGCTGAACGTAGAGGCGGGCGCCGGTGAGGCTCTCGCCAACGAGCAGGGACGCCAATACGCGGCTGGCGGCCTCAAGCTGCCATCACCAGGACCATTGAGTGGAAGGAAGAGCTGCGAGCCGGCTGCTGGATTGACTTGCTTGACAAGCGAGCCCTGGGGTAACGAGACTCTGCGGAAGGATGGCGAGCTATAGAGGGTCTTTGTAAATACTGTAACATTTTCCCTTGCATTCGGAGTAAAGGTCTTGGGGTTGATCTCCCTGTAGACCATCTCAAATGTCATACTAGTTCAACTATTTGCGTATGCAGGTTTTACATGTGACACCTTGCTGTCATTACTTCACTGCGCGATTCACATCCAGGCACCAAACACTTCCACGCCAGTGACGCATTGCTTAGTTTGTATGATGGCTGCCAGAGACGTAGAATACTATCCATCCACTTACATATCTTGCTTCGATCTTGGTCACTCCATCACTCCGCAATTTCAACAGAAATCCAGCAATCACCAAAACCAACATCATGCACTCCCCCATCCAACCCATCACTATACTAGCCTGCCTCCTCGTCCTAGTCACCGCGACTACAGCCCTTAACCGGATCTCCCCTACAACACTATCAACCCGCTCCATCATCAACAAAGACCAAGACCCCACACCAACAGACGTCACCACAACCGCCAAAAAACGGTGTCACATATGCATCGACAAGCTCAACACATGTCATAACGTAAGCACATCCCCATTCCCCCTATCATGTGCAAATACTAACACACGCATCAACATTAGAAAGGAAAGAAGAGCTGGGAATACTGTCGCGACGAGCAGTGTGAACACTCTTATTGCTTTTGTCATGGGTGCAAGGGCATGTAAGTATAACCATCTATATTCCAATATGAAGGGACAGTGTAGAGCGGTACTGACGGAGACCAGTACATGTGCTGAACGTGACAGAGGTTGTGGTGAAGCGCTTGAATGATGGGGTTGGGAAGGGATCGATTAGTTGTGCGGTGGAAGGGAGGGATCGGTGATGACATGTGCCTCTGTTCTGCTCACGCATGGGGGATGAGGATAGAAAATGACGTGCTGGACTTAGCGGAACACTCGCTGCTCTATACATCACGGACAAGTATTGATGTAAAGCAGTTCCATTATCCCCAGTTTCCCAGGTCCACCATGAAACTATCTATATTGTACAAGCCATGCCAAATCATGTCCGCGTAGCAGACTCGAATATGCTTCTATGTATGATGCATGACCGCTCGTTCTGTTTGGCTCTAAAGAAGAGGAAGAAGGAAAAGTTGCATGTAAAGCTGTGCAACTTGCAAGGACTAAAACCCAGTCAAACGCCTTCGCTGTTATCCATGGGAGGTCGTTCCCAAATCAGACCCCCAGGCCGTGCTGATCCTTCCCAAATGCAATGCTTGTGTTTTGTATCAATCGCTTTCGTTGACGTTATACAATGCCACCTGCTGTCGGTGAACGGTGTCGTGTATCTTTCTTCCCGTCGGAATAGCGCTCGTAATGTGAAGTTTCTTGTTGATTTCTTCTGCCGTAGTCCGTTTCGACGATGGTGAAGGTGGGACTGTCTGTCCTACAAGAAGCCCGAGTTCCCCTTGCCCATGAGCAGGTCTCGTGTCATCTCGAAGCTGAGCCAACTGCTAGCCATGCTGGGCGCGACCTTGAGAAGGTTGGGCACAATACCCTTGTACAGACCCCGGAAGCCTTCTGTCTTGATGATCTGCTTGATGGCGTCGCCGATTCCTGCGTACTGGTATCCCATACCGCTCATAGTGTTGATCTGGAATCTCCGCCGCAGAACATCGAATGGGTAGGTGATGGTCTGCGCAACAGCACCGGATACGGCACCAGCTCCTAATTTGCCGATGGCACCCGGGTCTTTCTGACCCTCGCGTGTAAACTTGGTACGGGCGATCTCGTACACCATAAAGTTAAGGCCAACATACGGTGCGACACCAGCCACTGTGGGAAGGATGCCACGGTATAGCGCCGGGAAACCGCCCTCGGTCTTGTACATAGTTACAAGCAGCGCCCACATGCCCGGTAGCTTCTGGCCAGCCTCCTTCTTGAGATCGGAGAACGATGCGGACTGGATGGATAGGCGTGTTCGGACGATATCGAGTGGGTAGGTGAACGTGACGGAGGTGATACCAGCAAGGCCACCACAGAGTAGGCGCTGGTAGGCATCGAGAGGGGCACCTGGTTCACTCTCGAAGAACTAAGACAAGTTAGATATGAAACTTTGGGACATACCATGGCCGTCGTCGTCTCTGCAGAAACCTCCGCGTCCTTGAATATCTCCTCCCGGCTCAATTTGAGCTTTCAATCGGTGAAGCTTCAGATCCTTCCCCACTTACCGCCCTCTCTCTTTCGTCCGCCTTTACCTTGTCCCATCCACCCCAATGTTTGAACAGCAAATCGCTCGCTGAAATCAAGAACACGCTGAGCAGAAGAGAAACAGACGTACCCGCTTGTAGACGTTGTATGCGCTGAACTGTACGGCCGAGTATGGTACAATCCGTATGCAGTTGGTGCCGTTTCCGGCCATGAATCCTCTCCATCCCTCTTCCCTCCACATCTTTGCCAGAGCCTTGGGTACGGACATCTTGTATTCCTCGCGGCCAACGCTCTGGACTTGGAATAGAATCTTGAGGCGTTCGAGAGGCGATACGACGGTTCGTGAAACCGCGCCAGCTACGCCGCCGGCGACGAAGGAAGCCAGAACTGGCTGCGCAAAAACCTGGCGAACGCGCTGGAGGCTAGTGATGTCGGGCGTGCCGAGGGGCTGCGGTGAGGGGTCAATTGATGTCCTGCGACTAGAGATTTCACCTTGACTCACTTTTATGCCCTTGCCTGGTTCGTCGCTCATGATGGCGGGCGGTTGCGATTGCGGCTTCTCGGATGGTTTCGACATGACGCTGTTTGGCGTTGCTCTAAACGCGGCGCTGTTGCTCTAAAAAGCAGGATATTGTTGTCCGGGCGGGGACAAGTTCTATCGACGGAAAGAAAAGGTCGCGCGACGTAGTGTCGAGGTCATCGGAAAATGGTGTTGCGGAGGTGAAGACAGATTTCCGGCCGTTCGAGGTGAGCAGGACTTGTCGATGAGCGGTGAATTCGATCTTCCATGCAAGGCAGCTTTCAAGTGAGTGTTTGTGTGTGTAGTCGCGCGTGTGTCATGGGCGTCGCTGCTCGGTAGGGTTGTCGTGTTTGGATCGTCTCTGGTAGCGGAGATTTGGGGATACCGCGGGAGGAAGGAGCGAATTTTAGTCTAGCGCCACGAATCGACGAATGCCATCAGCCATGCTTATAACAACCACGGTCCTCGCTGACGGCCCGGGTACTCGCGATCTGATACTTGGCTCTGGTTGACACCTGTCGTCTCCCTCCGGCATCAGCCCCTTGACGGGGCTGACTGCGAGCCGCCATGATTCGACGCGCATCATGGCAACACGTCAGGGGAACACCAGGGCAGATGCACGCAAACTGGCGTTGCGCCTCAGTCACCCCTTACTAGACGACGCAGTCAGCTGCGCACTGTCACTCCTTCTGCGTCAGCCGTTGTTGGAAACACTATAGAATGCTGTTTTAGAGTTTTGCTGCTCATGATCTTGATGGACTGTATCTGGCTTGGATGAGTGTCGTCACATGCGGAATGGTACCGCCCTGGCTCTCCATCACCAGATACTGCGAATGCATCCAAAACGCACGCACCGATGAGCACACGACCCCACACCCAACTGAGATCGCGTGCTCACTAGACTCTGGAGAACAGCGGGGTACAAACGTCGGCCGTGGACGTTGACACATCGTAATCGTAGATTCGGCGTTCCGAGGTTGAAGACGATAATATCTCGGGAGGTGACCTCACATCTCGAGTCCGAGATGATGAGCTATCGCGAACACAGTGATTGTCCTTCAAGTCATGTCAAGGCCGCTTGCAACATATAGTTCTCCTAGCTATCGTCCTTTCTATCGCGAGTGTTTGGGAAGGACGTGGACTTGGGGTGACATGTCGAAATCGTTGACGTACGTTATCGATAAGAGTATATAAGTTCTGCGAAGGCGAAGGCGACGCACAACAGTTGCACCTTCCCTATGCTGTCACGTCGTATATTTCGGCAGCTCACAGATAGCTTGCTCCTGGAGTCTTCCCATCATCCAGTAGCGCCAGCGTGTTTTGCCTTGAGACACGCGACTCGTGACTCTCACCAATCCAGTCACAGGCTCTCAGATCGGCGTGCATCCTCATCTTCAACAAGATGGAAGTCACGCCAAGGCAGGGACTTCTTCGCCAAGGAAGCCAAAGTACAAGGCTTGAAGAGTCGCGCTGCATTCAAGCTGCTTGAAGTAATTGCGCCTCGGTCTGTGACTGCGCACTGACTAACGTGCCACAGCTTAACACCAAGCACAAGCTTTTCCAACCCGGGCAGACTGTCGTCGATCTCGTATGTTTGTCGCCTTCACTGAAAACACGATGCTAAAGGACCCCAGGGTTTTGCACCAGGATCATGGTCCCAGGTTCGCCAGATCCATCTACACAAACTACAGCATCTTAATGTCTCCAGGTTGCTGCAGACCGTACTGCTCCAGAGGGCCGTGTCATAGGTATTGACTTGATACCCGCACAACCCCCGCGAGGCGTCTCCACCATACAAGGCGACTTCTTGTCACCTGTAATCCAAGACGAGGTTCGAGCCTATGTGCGAGATCCGGACCTGGGCAGACCCAGAAGACAGGTTTCTGGGAAAGCGAGCGAGGGACTTACCGAAGAAGAGCTGGACGACATGGAACGAGGATACATTGATATCGAACGACATGCCCATCTGGACGGCGCAGAACTCGAACCGATCGGGCGCCCAGCAGAGATCGGTGACAGCGAACAAGATGCTCCAACTAGGCTCTCGTTGAAGGAGAGGGATTTGCAGCAGGGCAGAGCAGTAGACGTGGTGCTCAGCGACATGTCAGAACCCTGGGACCAAACGGCCGGCTTCTACAAGAAGAGCCTTAGTGACCCATATTTTAGGATGATGAACACCAGCGGAAATGCTTTCAGAGACCACGCCGGCAGCATGGTGGGTAGTCCGCCGATCACTCTTGATTTTACTAAATTTCGTAGGACTTGTGCATGGCCGCCCTGACATTCGCATTCGATACGCTCAAGACTGGCGGCCACT